TTTTTTTTTTTTTTTTTGGTAGAGGGGGAGGGGGAGGGGGTTGGGTTCATTTGAGTTCTGGATGTATAGGTCTCATAACATAATCCTTGATCTTGAGATTTCTGTTTGTAGTGGTTTGTAAAGGCTTCTCTGTTTTAGGTGGATTAATCCATGACATATGAGCCTGCTATTTTTTTGTTATTGAAATATTTTCCGTCGACACATCAAAGGTGGTAAAGGTTGAACTACCTTTGTACTTTTTAATGAATTCTTTTGGTGAGTTGCCTTTGTTTTGTAGAATGTTAGGATTAATTAATTGGACCATATTATTGACAATGATTGGCATGTACGAGAGAAAAATGAGCGAGAGAGAGAGAAACAGTAGAGAGGGAAACCAACCACAAAACCCCAACCCAACTCCATACCATCTTCTTTGACAGAACGGAGGAAACCCACATCCAAACTATGCGAGTAATCCAGTAGGCGAGTGCAACCGGTACCCTAAAGATCCAAAACCCTTCTCTAACACACAACTGGGATATGATAGGACTCAAAAAGGGACATTCAAAGAATAGAGAGGAACATCTTAAGGTTATGGCAAGGGCATTTTAGAACAAGCAACATCCTTTTATTTCACTAACTTCCTTGAGGATTGGGAGATTGGTGAAATGTGGAAAACTTTCATTAAGTGCGGAAGGGCAATACAGGTGTATGTGGCAAAGAAAAAGGACAAATGGGGTCGTTGCTTCGAATTTGTTCGATGTTTGGAGGTTAAGAACACCAGGGAAATGGAGACCAAACTAAACTAGATTAAAGTTGGGAAGTAGATGATTCGAGCAAATGTGGCCAGATTCTCAAAATATGAGGATAGGAAAAAACAGAATGCCAGTTCTTCATTCCAGCCTAGGAGAAATATGATCATAGCTTCATATGTAGAAGTGGTGAAAAATGGTGTAAGGAACCAAACTGAAGCTACAAGAATGGAGCACTTACAAGACAAGGGAACTGAGAGGTTTAAGAGAAAGTCAGAACAGGGGCAATGGCAAGGATTAGAGGTACAAGCAGAGGAAGAAGAACTGAAATGGCTTCGTGATTGCTTTGTGGGTACAACAAAGTGCCCAAAAATCATTAGCACTCTCCAAGATAGATTCCTTATGGAGGGATACTTTTCTGCAAAAGTAACTCCAATGGAAGGGAACTTGGTCTTGATTTCATCTGTGGATGCAAAGGAGCTAAAATATTTAGTTGATCATAGGAGGGACTAGTTAGCTCGATGGTTTTCTGATGTAAGACCATGGACACCTACTGAAGTAGCTATAGAGAGGTTTACTTGGATGAGATGCCAAGGTGTTCCATTACATATATGGAAAAGTAGCTTCTTTGAAATTGTGGCTTGCTTATATGGGAAATTCATATCACTAGATGTGAGCACAATTAAAAAGAAGAGACTTGATGTGGCGAAAATCCTTATATTGACTCCTGTCCAAGATAATATTCAGAAAGTATTAAAAGTCAAAGTTGGGGAGAATATTTTCTAGATACGGGTGAGTGAGGAAGCTGGAGTTGATAATATATTTACCTTGAAATCTAATTTCAACTTGATCAACAAAGGAGCATCAATCACGGAGGAATGGCCAGATGAGTCCAATGGTGAATACTGTAATAAAGATGAATGGAAAGGTGACTGGCAAGTAATAGAGGATGAGAACGTGGAGGAGAACGAGGTGCAAAAAAGCTCGGTGGTGACGGAATTAGCTCCGATAGAACCAGAACAAGCTATGACCATGGGAAAAGGAAAAGATGGAGTATTGAACAAGTTGCTTGTTCATGACGACTCATTTAATGCAATCATTCAAAATTCAAATATTTTGACAGCAAGAAAGGGACTCGAGGCAAAAGGTGCAGTGAATTCATTGGAAATGTCATTGATAAGTTAGGAGGCAAAGGGGATAACAGCAAACAGTTAAGCATCGGATCCCCAAATTCTCCTACCAAATCCAATTCGGATTTTAGCCCAAAGCAAAACTCTTTTGTATTGGGCCAAAGGTTGGTTAAACAAAATGAAGCTAAGCCCACTTGTGTAGTAGAGAATGAGGCTGGCATATCAAAACCACCTAACAAGAGAACTAACGGGAAGGCCATTAAGGAGCCAAGATCCATAAGTGAAGGGATGTCTAGTAATGGGGTTTGTCCGAATCGAAAATTAGAAGAAAGAGAGAGAAACAGGGTAGAAGCATCACAAGTACATGAGGAAGAGGATAAAAAAACTCAACCTTTTTGGGAAGGGTTAGCGAGTGAAGATGAGATCTTGCAATCAAGAGCAGAAAGGTTAGCGAGAAAAAGAAAGAGGAAAAGACAAACAGAAAGAAAGGTGAAGAAAAGGTTGGAGATCAAAAGGTAGAAAAAGAAGGAGAACAAAATTCGGGTTTCAATTAGTAGAGCTATAACTAAGAAGGGAGAAGCATGCAATAGTCAATCAGAAAACTTAATTAAGAAGCAAGATCAGAAGGAAAGTTGCTGGAGAGAAGTAGAAGAGCTATGGTTGGTGGGTAAACAATTGGGTCTAGTAGACAAGAACAATGTAGATGAAGTCATCCAAAGACTCAAGGAGATGGAGGAAAAGGATTGTGTTGAGCTTGCTACCCAAAAAATGGCAACGTCAGCTAACAAAAGGGAAGCGGTGATCGACACATGAAGATCTTATCTATAAATGCTAAGGGTTTAGGAGACAGTAAAAAGAGGAAAGTAGTGTGAGATTTAATCAAGAAAAAAGGAGCAGATATAGTCTTCATCCAAGAATCGAAAATAGAGGTATGTGATAATAGGAAATGCAGATCTACATGGGGTGGGGATAATTGTAGCTGGGTCATGAAATCGGCTCAAGGGAGAGCTGGAGGAATTATATGTATGTGAAATTCGAGTTTGTTTGAATTGAACAAAGAATTAGTGGGCAGCGGGTTTTGTGGTATGTATGGTTTATGGGGGAAAGATAAAACTCCATGTTTTTTTGCTGAATGTTTATGCTCCCTATGATAATCAAGGTAAACAGATACTTTGGAAATAGATGTCAGATTGAATAAATTTGTATGGTGCTGGGAATTGGTGCATAGAAGGTGACTTTAATGCAATCCGCAATAGAAAAGAGAAAAGGGGAAGATCTTTTGATGCTACAGCCATGAGAGATTTTAACTACTTCATTGAAAAATAGGACTAGTTGACTTGCCATTGAGAGGAAGGAAGTTCACACAGTTCAAATATGATGGAACAGTAATGAGCAGGTTGGATAGATTCTTGGTGTTTACGGGGTTCCTCATTAAATGCTCGGATCTTATCCAAAAAGGTTTAAGAAGAGACATTTCTGATCGTTGTCCAATAATGCTAATGAGCTCTAGTAAGGATTGGGGACCGAAGCCTTTTAGAAGCCTTGATTGTTGGCTTGAACACAAGGAGTTTAGCTCTTTTGTCCATGAGAAATGGAATAGCTATAATGTGGAGGGGTGAGAAGGATTCAAGCTGAAGGAAAAATTGAAAATACTGAAGAATGATTTGAAGAAATGGAATAGGGAGGTATTTGGCCACATTGATAAGAAAATGGAGAAGATTAGAGACAAGATAAAGGAAGTAGATAACAAGGCTGAGAATGGAGAGTTATAAGAAGTCGAGATTGAGCAGAGACGAAATAGCTTTCAGCAATTCTGGGAATGGAGTACAAGAAAAAATAGTTTGCTGTGCCAAAAATCAAGACAGAAATGGCTTCAGGAAGGCCATGCCAACAGTAAATTCTTCCATGGGTGCATTGGTAAGAGAAGGAAAAGAAATGGGATTGATGGAGTGATGAAGAGTAATGATTGGATTGAGGAAGTCATTGAGGTGAAAAAATTCATCAAAGAATATTTTGAGCTCAAGCTTCAAGAGGATGAGTGGAATAGACCTAACCTTGAACTCAATGATTTGAAACAACTGAGCTCAGAGGAGAACAATTGGCTAACTGCAGAATTCACAGAGGAAGAAATAAGGGGGACGGTGTGGAATTATGGTGGGAGCAAAAGCCTAGAACCAGATGGATTCAACTTCAACTTCATTAAAAGTCAGTGGCCAACGATAAAGCAAGATATTGTGGCTTTTGTTAAAGATTTTTGGGCAAATGAGAGATTGGTGAAAGGAAGCAACTCATCTTTCATTGTTTTAATCCTGAAGAAAGACTCTCCACAAAGCTTAGGGGATTTTAGGCCCATATCCCTAGTTGGATGTTTGTATAAAATAATATCTAAAGTCCTTGCAAACAGATTGAGGAAAGTGATGCTGTCTATCATTAGCCAGAACCAATCAGCATTTATAGGAAGGAGACATATTGTAGATGGTATTGTGATCGCTAATGAAGTTATTCATGAAGCAAAGAAGAGGAAGAGGCCCACCTTGATATTCAAAGTTGACTTTGAAAAAGCCTATGATAGTGTCAACTGGAATTTTCTTGATGTGATCATGGAAAAGTTCAGATTTTGTTGGAAATGGAGAAGATGGATCAAGGAATGTTTATATACTTTAGTTGTTTCAGTTCTGGTGAATGGTAGTCCTATAGAGGAATTAAACATGAAGAAGGGACTGTGACAAGGTGATCCATTAGCCCCATTCTTATTTCTTTTGGTTGCAGAAGCACTTAATGGGCTTGTTCTCAAAGCAAAGGAGCAAAATATCTATAAGGGAGCTAAGGTGGGAATAGAAGGATTGGAGGTCACACACCTGTAATTTGCTGATGATTCTATTTTCTTCTGTGAGGCATCAGATCTAAATATTAAGACAATCAAGGGAGTTCTTCAGACTTTCGAGCTTGTTTCGAGACTCAAGGTGAACTTCTTTAAAAGTGCCCTTTATGGAATTAATGTGAAGACAGAGGATATCAGTGATTGGGTTGATTCTCTTAATTGTGTGATGGGTTCTATTCCATTCAAATACCTTAGAATCTCGATCAGTGCTAGCCTGAGAAACTTATCAACCTAGACACTTGTGGTTGACTGCTTGAGACATAAATTGTCAAATTGGAAATGTAAATTTTTGTCCTTTGACGATAGAATTGTTCTCTTGAATGCTATCCTATCAAGTATCCCAGTCTACTTCTTCTCTACCATGAGAGCCCCTAAAAAGGTAATTAACCTTCTATCCTTTATTCAAAGAAGATTTTTATGGGGGAGCAAAGAGGGTGATAGGAAGATAGCATGGGTTAGTTGGGATAAAGTATGTACAAGTAGAAAGGAGGGAGCATTAGGTGTTAAGGATCTGGATCATTTTAACAAAGCACTCTTAGGAAAATGGCGTTGGAGATTAGTGATGGAAAAAGATGCTTTATGGAATAGGGTAGTTGAGGCAAAATGTGGGGTTCATAGGAGAAGGGACTAGGAGGGGAGGGAGGTGAAACTTAATAGTTCTTATTGGTGGAAGGCACTGTGGAGATTAGATAAAGAGAAAGGAAGTAAAGAAAACTGGTGTATGAAGGATTGGTGAAAACAATGGGGGAGGGGAATGATACGTTGTTTTGGCATGAAAAATGGTGCGGAGGCACCTTTTAGGGAGAAATTTAATAGGCTATATAGATTGGCAGAGGATAAGGAAGCTTTAGTTAAAAATATGGGTGAATGGAGGAATGGAGAATGGGTTTGGAGATGGGGCTAGCATAAGGAATTATTAGGACGTGAAAACACCATTTTGTAGGAGCTTAACAGGTTACTACATGGAAGCAAGCTAAAGTAAGGACAACAAGACTCTTGGAGGTGGAAATATGAATCAAAAGGAATCTACTCAACAAAATCTACATACACCCTGTTAAGAAGCAACAACAGAGAGCCAAATTCAAGAATGTTTTGTATGATATGGAATAATAAGGTGCCTCTTAAAGTCTCTGCATTTGTGTGGAAGGTCAAGCAGAATAGAATTCCCACAGGAGATAACCTTCTAAAAAGAGGATTAGTTGGATCTGATACTAATTTTGCATGCATTTTTTGTGGAAAGCATATTGAAACTGTCAACCATTTATTTTTCACATGTGACGCAACTTGGGCAATTTGGCATGCAGCATACGCGTGGTGGGGTTTGCAAATTATACTTTCATGTGAAGGCTGGGAGCATTTGCAGCAACATGTGGGTATGGTGCTGAATAAAAAATTAAAGGATTCTTGCAATGTGATATGGTTTACAATTATTTGGTCCATCTAGTTGTGGAGAAATCAACTGATCTTCAAAGAAGGTAATGACAATACTGCTACTGTGTTGGACTTAATTAAATTGCGTTCATTAAATTGGGTTAAGGCCAAGCAAAACATGGAATTGACTAAAGACTTGTGGTTTGAGAACACTAGGGGAGCATGTAATTGAAAAAAAAAAGGAAGTTAAGAGCTCTTATAATGGGACTGAATTGTGTAATGTAGAATGAGCTTCTTAGGATGATGTAAAGGGTTTGAGTACCCCTTGTACTCCTTTTTCTTTTTCAATAATATTAGTTTTGTCGATAAAAAAAAAATTAATTGGACCATATTTTGTCCGGGGCCTAATGCTCCACGCCCAGCATATTTCTCCAATATATCCAGTCAACCAACAGCATTCTATGAGAGACAGGGCCCATAAGATCCATAAACCTTGAAATTGGTGTATTTTTTTTTCCTTTCTAAAATCCTAGTAGTAGTTTTTTTTTTCCCTCTCTAAAATCCTAGTAATATTTTTTTTTTCATTTATTGTTATGAAAAATATTAAAATTTAATAATTTTATTAATTTTCTAATTAAAATTATTAACATAATATTAATGTTAAAAATAAAATTAATTCACATGTTAGAAAAATGAAATGGGTTGATTACAAATTATTGTGATACCAAAAAAGAAAAAAAAAAGCTTATAATTGATGTTAGAACATAACTCTAATATACTTATGAATTATGATTGCAAACAAAAAGACAGGTCAGGAGTAAAATTTCTCCTTGCACATAAATACTAATAAACAAAAGTAAAAATTAACATTAATTTTATTATAAGTATTAAATATAAAAATTTAAGTAAATAACTAATAGATTAAACATTAATTTTTGTTTTTTAATATAAATTTATAAATATATATATATACTTATTACGCTCACAAAAATTTCTGTTTGTTTCTAATTGCCAAATGAAAATGCACCATGCCATTTGTTTTTATTTTTGCTCTCTGGATCTTTATCGCATGCCCACTACTTCTAGTCTCAGACAGCATATTCTATTGATTCCTCAGACACATTTGTCGTCAACTTTGAAAAATCCATCATTGTACCCAGTGTTCAGGAGTTGGGAAAGAAACCCATCACCAAAATCCCACCAAGATATGTCCGCCCAGATCAGAACCTGCCGCCTGTCACCGGTGATTGACCGTCTCCTCCCGTATCATCAGTTCCGATCAGCGATCTTCACAAACTGATTAACCTAGATTCAATGAGCTCTGAGCTAAACTCTCTCCACTCTGCTTGCAAGGAATGGGGGTTTTTCCAAGTATGTAAAAAACTGTTCCTATTATGAAATTAAATTTTCTAGAATTACAAAATAAGTTCTTATAATTTATGGAAGGAATTAAATTTTCAGGTGATAAACCAGGGAATTAGTGCTTCACTATTGGAGGAATTCAAGTTGGAGATTGAGAATTTCTTCAATCTTTCTTATGAAGAGAAGAAGTTCTGGCAGTAGCCCGACAACCATGAAGGGTTTGGACAGTTGTTTGTGG